GAGCTTGAAATAAAAGATACCACAGAGTCTAACACATCTGTTTCATACTTGGATATTTTACTTGAAAAAGACATTAGTGGTAATCTAACAACCGAGCTATATGATAAACGTGATGACTTTTAATTTTCTATCGTCAACTTCCCTTATTTAGGCAGTAATATACCTTCATCACCTGCATACGGAGTGTATATATCTCAGTTGATTCGATACGCAAGAGCATGTTCTATGTATAAACACTTTCTAAAACGAGGTAAATTATTGAAAAGCAAGTTCATGAAACAAGAATATCATCAGTCTCGTTTAAAGTCATCATTTCGTAAGTTCCATGGTCGATACAATGACCTTGTCAGCAAATACAATTTATGATTGAGTCAAATGCTGACAGAAGTTTTTCATACTAATTGTTAGTCCATTATTATTTATACACTGAATTGACGACGGATTTTTCCGTTATTTCCTGATCATGACAAGAAGCTCTCAGCGGATGTGACCAGTCAGCAGGGGATGCTCACTCCTCTATGGCACTTGATCCCACCTCTAATGTTTCGGGGGTCCCTGTTTGCTCTGCTCCTATTTTGTATTGTTTTATGGACTTTGAGATTGAATATAGTTCGTTATCGCCATATCCTTCCTTAGAGTACTCTTATTGTTAAAAGTATACACGCTATAACTTGTGCCAGTTTGAATACAATCGAAAATTTATATAATTTTTTTTTACCAATAGAGTTACGGAAATACAGTAAATTACACCAATAATATTAAACTCGTTATAAAGTTATCAAATTATAATTATTTATAATCCTGCTAGGAGAGAAATGGCTATTTTTAAATGATCCATCGTGACGTCGTCGCTACTTTTAGATTGATACAAACATGGTGTCAAGAAAACGAGGTAGGCCGTTTGAGATACATGTACAACTCACTTCTGACATGGATGGCAAGCGTTTTACTCTAAATGATACTTAGGGTATCAACCATCTACTTTGTTTTGACGCATATTAACTTTTTATTAATAATTGTTGTTAAAATGCTGCATATCTCGTTGTCTATTATTTCCCGTGGACATGCGTTTCTATATACGCACTTTCCCAATCAATAGTCATGAAAAGACTGAATTCTTAATTGTGAGATATTGCTTTATTGTTTTGTTATTACAACGACGTCTATAGTAAAATTTTGTATTATTTTTTTTTTATTACACTTTATGTTTCAAATCATTTAACCATTTTGTTTCACACAAATCTCGGCGTTAATATAGCGTGTATTACTTAAAATGTTCGCTATTTTCTTGTACTCGGTTTTGTAACTTTGTGTAGAATATTTTGTTCATTTAATTTTTCTTTTGAATGTCTGGGCGGAGGCGAATAATCGGATGTTGAAAGTAAGGTGCGCCACATTTGCAATAATTTGTTTTGACTTATGTTAACTGGTAACCATTATACTTAGTACTTTTTTGATTATTTTACAGGGAGCATGAATTGTCAAACATAGTGGTATTGCCAAACATATGTAGTGAAACACGTGACTTATAAACATAATCATTATTCAGACTTCATGAGTAAAAATGAAAGAAATATAAACTTAATTCCAGACAGCAGAAATTTATCAGTCACGGATTTATCTGTAACAGTCTTTGAACTTCTGAAGTTAGCAATACGACATATCGTGCAGTAGATCTTGAACTCGTATCAGGTATCTGTGTCAATGTAGTGCTATTAATAAATCAGGCAAAACGTTCTCATAGAATTGCAAATGAACACAGGAGTAATGTTAGCGCTGCAAAAACGTAATAAATGTGAAGCTAAACCTTTTAGAAAGATTATGGACAGATAATATAAACTGTTTTTCTTTGGAGGATACTTAAAATCATGGCACAGGTTTTTTAAAAAAGTGGATAACTCTTTGGCTTTGTCTCCTTAGACTTGGGAAAATATTATTTCATACTTTAAAAAAATACAAATATGGTCACGCTAAGTAAAGGTTAACAGGTGAATTTTAAGAAGAAAAGAAAAATGGTAAAAATCTGCCTATTTTATGTTTCTGATATATCACCATTTAGCGTTTCCTCATAGAATTTACATGGTTTGGTATATTTTGGTAAAATTCAAATTCTGCATTAAGCACGAAGCTAACATTTTTGATTTATTTTTATCTGTAAATCTTTCCTCAGTGTGATTATTCCATTTTTGTTATGTTATTGAAGTATTAACTAATATTTTCAAATCTATTTTATTTCCAAAGTCTAAGGAGGAAAAAAATTTTAAAAAGTATACACTTTTCTAAATCTATGAAATGATATAAAGTCTCCTCCAAAGACAAAAATGTATGTTGTCTTATGTTCCTTTCTAGAAATTTCTAGAAACTCATATAGAGGCTTCACTATTTACCGATTATTCTAGCTTCCAATCTTACGACTGTATTGATTGAACGTTTGATTGATTGGTGTTCAACGCCAAATCGGCAGTCGTGGCCTCGAAACTGGACAAATTGAAGTGATCGTATCAAACCGAAACAAACCTTGTGTTCACTCGTGGCTATCGTGCTGATCGTGAATTTTTCGTCTACTATCAAACTTTCTTTTTAAGATTTACACGATTAAATTTTATACAATTATGACCGTTCACTGATGTCAATAATAGTTATATTATATAATCACTCAAAGTGAATACAGTGACACGTACAGTCCAAACTGAATAGATTCGGTTGTTATTACGTCACAATGGTTAAAACACGCTTCTTATATTATGACCTCACGTTCTACGTAACTTTGGTGCAAGCGAACGTTGTGTCGTTCGATATCATTTTCCGCGGACGCGCTTTCGCGCCGACATCACAAAAGGAGGAATACTGCGTGACGTTCTTTCAGCCAATGAAAATTACGAAAAGTATCTTCTTATATAATATTAATTGTTATCATCCCATTAGACCGAATTGCATTGTAACTAACTGCAACTGTATCGTAAGTAAACACATTTAATCTGGCTTTCAAATCGCGAACATCGGGATCCATCTCGGACATGTCACAGGACAAACAACCCACTGGTGTGCGATTCTTTGCAATGTCTCACGTTCAGTCACTATCTGAGACGCTTTGCGTGGTCCTACAGCTCATGAGCTGATATGGTAATTTTCCGTTCAGATACGATTTGATACAGACATACGAGAGTAAACGCCATAAGATATGAATGTTAATGCTTTGCCACGGACGCTTACGCTATATTACGAGTACTTACACTTTCATACATAACGGCAAAAAATTATCGCGTTTCTTTCACCGATTGAAAAGAAGACACTAAGGGCCACTGAGCTGTGAGGGGTCTTTTTTGTGCCAGTACCTACTGCGACACGGGACCTCGGTTTATACCTTGTCATCCGAAATACCGGTATCCACGTCCAACGGTGGGAATCGAATCCGTGACCTAAGGGTCATATAACAATTTTTTTTCTTTTAGGTGGAATTCTCCTCATACAAAAATGTATTCCTTGAATTTAAGATTTAACAGAATCAAGAAGACAATATCACTAAATCTTTACTTCGCGACTCTAGAGCAGATGCCCTTACTACTGCACCACGCTGGTGACTTTCGTCTCTAAAAATACTCAAATACACCTGTTTATATCAAAATGCAAGAACATTGCAACTTCATAAAACCTGTATTTCAAGGCCTGGAATTTAAGGAGATAAATTTTAAAAGGAAATTAAAGCACTTAAGTCTTTACTTTATTTTGATGTTTAAAATGAAACATAAATTGTCGGTAAATTGGTATATAAACAGGACCGATATAATGCATAAAGTTAACTGAGCTCTTGGTTTTCAGTTGCCAGGTTCATCAGTTTTTGGCATTCAATACATGCGCAGCCCCCGCTCAAGTAGTTTATCGCTGTTTCCCGTGTCTTATTACAGGAATTGATTTGTCTCTAAACAAACATTAATTATATTAATTTCACATCGGTAAAAAAAACTAATGAGGGCCAATACTGTAATTATCTTCATTAAGGTGGGATTTTCCTCATACTACATGTATTTCTTGCATTTTAAAAATTAACGGAATCAAGAAGACAATATCATTAAGTAATGGTTTCAATTAGATTAGTTTTGACTGTTGACGCAAGCTAGTCTATGTCAACGTCATTACCTTTTTCCTTGACATTAAGAATGAAAAGTCACTGCATAAAATCATTGGATATCTTCTTCTATTTCAAAAAATTAAAAGTTTTCTTTTTGCATAAAAAATATTACAATATTGGGCCTATTTGATTAATTATAATAATACTTGAACATAAATGGTTTAACAAAAACGGATTTCAAGTAATCCAAATTTTCTCCGTTTATCTTAATTTTTTTAAGATATAGTTATTATTTAAATCATTTTTCCCCACATATAGTAAAGAAGTTATATAGAGATACAAAATGATACGTTTACTAAGAGAGAAAACACTTTCTACGGATTTTTGGTTCATATCTGTACTTACATTGGAAAGCCATCATAAGTGTAGTTTGTTTGAAAAATTATCAATATTATGTACCTTTATCTTTCACAATATAAAGATTCATTGCCTAAATATACATTGAATATATCATCTACTTTGAAACTAGAGAAGAATCCTACCTTATAAGACATCTGGCAGTCTTTTTTAAAATTTATATTCCGTAACTAGGAATCATTCGAAACAGAACTGCATGAATTGCATACTGTAGTTTGTGACTGTGGCAAATTTCCTTTTGGATAAATTTCTTGTGCAAAAATTAGCAAGATATGAATTGTCTCAAAATGTAGATTTGCATCCATGTATTGAAATGGTAAAAAAAGATCCAAGTAAAGACGACTCAAAATCAATATTCAGCTTCCGTGAAATTGTGATAGATTTAAATAATCGATATCAAATGACAATTATTTAATATCTTATGAGGTATTTCATCAGAATCAGAGCGGATATTTATTGCCTTGTTATCTTTATTGATACACTTATGAATAAATTTACATGTTCCTTTCTCAGGCTTTAGTATAAAAGGTAGATTTATCCGGAACCTGTCCCGTGTTACATCCGTCTGTCACAACAGAAGTGACAGCTGTACTGTCCCGTCATTGGGACATTGCCGTAGTTAATGCAGTATTCTAGATCTGACGTCTGGTGGAGCCATTTGTTTCGGCACTCCTCCTCTGTCACACATCTGATCAATAAAGGAGCGATAAATGTTGATGGACTCCCGAAAATCAAAGTTTTTTTTACTGTTTGTTCTTTAAGGCATTTAATATGAGTGTAAACATGCTTGCATCATTTTGTTTGCTCAAGTGAAGCGAAAAGTGACCGAAACAACATTAATATGTGGAGATGGCATAAAACACGGAAACCTGGAAATTGAAGAGTCGGAATCAGGTTCATAGGGGATAAAGTTACTTTGTTTAACATACACGTCAAATTGAAGGCAACATATTTTTCCTCTTTCCACGCAGAAGTATTTTAATGAAGTATGCTGCATATTAATAAAAAAAGTAGGTCAGCTTATAATGGATCACAATTAGTCCCCATAGGAATTCCCACCGTTTGTTGGAAAACTTGGTTTTTGAAGACTATAAAACTTTTGTTAAGGAGGAACTCGAGCATATTTAATATCATTATGTGTACAATCAGAGCATGAGGACGTGCAATGTGACCTTCTGCAACTTACAAGAATGGATTCATTCACCATGAATCGATGAGAGAACTGGATTATCATTTCCTTTAGCTTATCATTAAAAGATTTTTTTGCATAGGTATTTGTGAATTTTTTTTCATTTAATGTTGTTTCATATTTTATATACATATCATTTAAGCGTCACAAACTGACCTTTAAAATGTCTTAGGGTTGTCTGATCCGTCATGGACAATATCCGTCATGCAGAAATGTTCATCTGGTGCACAATTCTGTAAATTCCCCAAGTAGATTGTCCTCGTATCACAGGAAAAAGATGAATTAGCATCTCCACATGTATGACACTTTCTGATGCCTTTGATAAATAATAAGTATTTGAATCGTATTTCTATCGATTAGGTATAAAAATAAAACGAGTTGTGTATCCTTAACTGAAAGCAAATAAACGGAACGAAAAAGGGTAAAGATAAAAATCAATCGATGTCATTAAAACTAAAAACATAACAAATCTGTGAACAGGGCATTATTACGGACCCTGGAAATTCCACATGTGGGATCATGTGAATAGAAAGAGTAATATTCATCTATTGACCCGCCATGAGACCTATATATTGGGATTATATATCTTTAAAGGGTAGAATTTACAATACACATCACCATTAAGTATTAAACATCTTTATATACATGTAGAGTGTCATTTTTTTAAAACTCCTTTCCATGGATGTTAAGGACCATGAAATTTATTTATAAATAATATAACTATAACAAAGAAAATGTAATGTCATTAATCTTTAAGGCAATACAAAGATGTTTTTATGAGTAATTAAAAGAATTAGATATACCTGCGAATGTTGGAGGATGACTGTGCGATGATGTTGAAGTTGATGATACAGATCTTGTACTTGTCGTTGTATCAGAAGTTAATGTTGATGTTTTTCTTTCACTTATTTGAGTCATCGTTGTCTTCATTGTTGTTGATTGCGCCGTTGTAAAATCTAATAAAATAAAAAGCGGCATAGCAGTCCTTCTGATATTTCTCAGATACAATACTTAAAAGATTACTTCTGAACTCGCGTTAAAAATCACCATTTCATAAGTTTTGCGGTGGGTACAATGACTTTGTGAGCAAATGCTATTAGTTACAGGTTCAAACAAGAGTGGAAGGGAATTTACACCGGGTTTTATTCTATAATCCCTGAGGTTGAAGCTTGAAGGGTGTATGGAAAACAACCGGAGGTAAATCTCCGTACACTCTTGTTTGGAAATATTTATTGAAATGAATTGCTATTTAATCAAATAAAAATTCTTTTAAACCCAAGACTAAACAGCTGCATTTACTCATATCTCCGGCCAGGTGTATGGAAATTTACACCCGCTTTGCTTACCAAACAGATCTCGTATTCCGAGCTACAAAGAAAATAAATCTATCATTAAGTCAAAGGCTGACTGGTGTTTATCATACTAAGTGCTAGACCATTATTTAGAGATTGAATTATCTACAGATTTTTCCGTTATTTTCTGATCATGACAGTGAGCACACGGTGGGTTTGACCGGTCGGCGGTGGATTTGATTTGAACATATTTTATTATGTAAGAAATACATAAACGGTTTGGGCAGCAGGCATAGCCCTCTCTACAAGGGACTGAAGAATGGATTCAGGATTAAAGAACTTCGACAGGTCGGCGGTCGATGTTTGCTCCTCCAACGCACCTAATCCGATAATCCCACCTCTTATGTTCTGATGGCTCGTGTTTGCTTTGCTTCAAAATTTGTGTCATTGTAACTTTTGAGGTTATATACTGTTCGTTAGCGCTATATGTTTCATTTGAGTATCTTTAACAAAATTGTCGATCTTTTAAATAAATACAAACTGTAGATTGCAGTTAAGTGTGAAGTTTTACGTAACGTCATGATTAGTTTGACAGCTGTGCTCAAGGTAAATAGTACACGCCTCCTAACCGCAAGCTTAACGACTGGAACTTTCTTCTAATTGCTGATTGGTTGCTCGTACATCAGACTATTTCTGTGTCAATGTTGATAATATTAGTTAACCAATCACATGAATTGTTACGCCGGATGTATCTGTCGAAAAGATCGTGACGTAACGCAAAACTTCACACTCAACTGAAATAGATAGTATATGAATTTTTAAGTAACATAACTAGCAGGGAATGTATTTTGGATAGCAATGGGACATATACAAAAAAAATTATCCTTTTTTTTATTAGAGTACTTAATGGATATATAATCACGCAAGGTGAAGGATATGTAATCACGCACCCCAGGAACAACTGATTACCTAAATAAATTACGTAAATCAGTAGACATCAGCAGATTTCTTGCAACTGCAGGGAACAATTAAATATTTTTTTCTTTTCAGGGATTTATTTATAATTTATTATTGTACGAGGGCTGATCAATAAATAATGTCATGAATCTATGACATACATATGACATTAAACTTGAATTTCTCTCATTATTGAATCTTTAATGAATTGATAACACTTTGTGACCACTTTTCGTCACATAATTTCATTGTTGGAAGCTGAAAAACAAGGGCTATAAGAGACATTGCATTAAAATGAATAGTAAAACAATAAGTTAACTAAAGTGGAATAAAACACTTCATTAAATCTGCTGTAAAACTTGTTAAGAATCCCAAAGATATAGAAACTGAAATATGTGAAATTTACAGCAACCAATCTCTGTTTTATACATACATGAGCAGGTGGATTTAATGAAAAATAATGTTATACTGGGGATCAAAAATGGGTACCGTCCTTGGCGACAAGGACTTACAACAACCAATGAACTTTTTGCAAGAATTCAACAAATTATCATTGATAAGGTTTGATTGACTTTACGACACATAGCAAATTTGTAGGCATCATTTAAGGGGTAGTTCACAATATGTTAAAGAAACATTTGACACTAAAAAAGCTTTATACTCAAATGTTTTAAAAAATAAGTGAAAATGACAGCGTGTAAAATTATCTAAACAATTATTTCAAAAAATCAAAATTTGTACTTATCCACGTTTGTCTGAAATTCAAACATTTAATGAAACTTGAATCCATTACTTTAAACCCTCAAAACAAATTTACAAGAAGATGCGATTGACAAAACAGCAAAAGTTTGAGAAGAACAAAGAATTGGAAGAGCACAAAAGCCGTTTATATGCTCTGTTCTTAAATACTGGTGGTCTTTTGTTCAAATTCTTATTTGGGGAGGCTGTTCAATTTCTAGCGGAATCTAGAAAGCAAGATTTTTGCAAAAAAAAAAAAAAAAAAAAATTCGAAAGCTTATTAAGAGAGAGGAACCATAATCAGGAATCCACTACATTAAAATTCTTCAGTACAACGTCTAAACCCACTGGCAATGAAGAGTAATTAAAGAGTTTTGGGGATAAACAGAAAGTTAATGTTTATTAACACCAACAGTATTCGCATCATCTTTTAACCATTGACTTGTTTCATTTCCCAAACTTGAAAAACACCCTTCAGAAAGAAAAAAACGAGTACAGGAAATCATAGGGTCTGCCATTTTCCAGTATACCAAGGGCCATGCTTAAAAGTGTGTTCAAAAAAGAAATTGAATAAAAATGTTACGGATATTCGTTTCAATTAAAAGAGAATATTTAAGTGAAATCATTAAGACTAAATTATTGAAAATCGGTTTTTGTTTCTTTCCGAGGATCGATGACATTATTTAATGAACAGCTCTCCGAAAGGCTCCCTTAAATAATGAAACAACAAATTGCAAGTTGTTTTTTTTTTATAAAATCACTATAATTTTAGAAATCAATCTTCTACAAAGTCAAGTACATGTTTAACTTTGATTCCGACGTCAAAGACATGTTTTAAATCTTAATAGTTATATATTTATATTTTTGCCTAATGAAAGGCCTGAAATAGTTTTACTGAAATATTTTCTGACCGACAAGATTCTTAACACCATCTTTTTTTCTTGTTTCGAAAATGATATGAATCAATTCTGATTGGTTATAAAGACTGATTATAATTGCTTAATAGTGGTAATCTCGGAGAGAGTGGTCAAATGTTCACAGGCCTAAAATAGCTACGTTCACAATGTCTGATGTTTCAATAAATAATTTCATAACAATATAGGAGTAAAAAAGAGATATGAAATATTTTTCGTCATACTTGTTGGATTACACCGACAAGTCCGTTGATGCTTGTCATCTGAAGTGTGTTCACAATGTGGCGTTTTTCCTGCTGGACATGTACAATCGTTGTCACTTAAACAAGCTAAAATGATTGGATGATAAAATGTTATCTATCCACCAAGAATTGTGCACTTATTTACAGAATGAATAATATCACTTTGATTAAGTCGAAACTTTCATTTTATTACACAGTAATATCTTCAACAACAAACCTTTGTCAAATACACTATATGTATGATGCATAATTAAAAGTATTGATTAACAATTATCAATGTCTACATACCTATACATTCACATCTGCTGGTTTGATCATAGAAAAACAACCAACCATTACTTCGAATTCTGCAGTAGGGAAATCGAGCTTCATTCGGACAGACATTGTGTGTACAGTCAAAATCATCATTGCAGTCAGTGACTGTCAAGGCAACTGTAATGGATAAATTTTAACAGCTTTAAATAGTTCATGTGAAACAGTGTTTAAAAAAACACATACACTGTAATTAACACCGCTGATATTTGAATCAACTGATTTCTTTAATTATTAATTCATATTTAAAATTTTCGTCGAAGAAAAAATTATCATTTTACATACCTGAATGTGTGACACTTTCTGAAAAAAGTAACAAATCAGTAAACTCAAAAGAAAAAGTTAACTAAAATTATACATATATGAGTCTAAATATTAATTTGGGAAAATGGGGATTGGAGAATGAAAAGAGCTCCGTAAGATTAATTTTTGATAAATTGTTTGGATGCCATCGTGTTGATAATTTCTTGACTGCACTTTCATTAGTCGTTTGCCTTAAAGGCTTTGCTAAAAGATACATCTTGAGTTCAAAGAAAAGAAAAACTGAATAGCGATAAGTTCCAAATAACTAAAAAAAAAAGATTTTAAAACTCAAACAAACAAATTTTACTTTTCTTTTAATGGCTGAAGCCGAAGTTGATTGAAATTCAATAAAATTTTCTTTATAGGAAAAATATTCATACACGTAGTTGTGACGACATTAACTAAAAGGAAATCAACACATCAATTATTTTTGAGGAAAAAATGGTAACTTGTCAAGCATTTAATTCTGTATTCTTGTTTACATCGTTTAAATAGTCGACATTGCAATGCGGGACTGAATATTGAGTCGACATCGTGTCAACATTGCCTTCTGTTTTCCTGTTACGTCATTGACATCGTAGACATTGCAATGTGGGACGATATATCGTGTTAACGTTGGCAACATTTCCTTTTGTTTTCTGGCTTACATCGTTAACATTGTCTATATTGTAATATTGTACGATACAAACTCAGTATAAAACAACTAAAATTACATTGCAACGTCAACAGTGTAATTATTAAAACATTAAAGATGATGTACCTTCCATATCAAATAAGCGTTGTCTGTATTATATTTCTCTATTATTCCTATTTCTCTGATTGACTAAAACATTATCGCAGGATTATATAACAGCATACAAACTTGTATTACTTTGTATAGATCCTGAAAAGCATATTAACTTGATGTTTCTTAAACATGTTTGAATGAAAAATAACAGAAGAGCTGACGGCACAATAATAATAGCTTGTATAGTAATAATCAAGCTTTTTTATAATGATGTTGTTCGAAATAAAACAATTCCTTGAATAAGAATCTACTTTATTTTAAAATATTTTAATAAGACATATCGTCTTTGACCTTATTACATTACCTAAATTATATTCTATCAGTAAAAATGAAACATAATTAGGATAATCATCGCATTTATTATCTTTGGTCA